GTAGTGCCATTTAAAACATTTTAATTATGAAAACAACTTTTATTTGTAATGAAGTGCTCTGCCAATTAATTACACGAGTTACGAGTCACGGATGCCCATTTTCCACAAGTTGATATGATTCTTTAGGATCTTAATGAAAAGTCTATAACATACTTTGGTTAAAATTGCTCAATGGTAGTGTAAAACAACACCCTTTTTACCCTGTCAAAAACAGCTCTGTTCACACCGTTTCGGTGCATGTCCCTTTAAATGCTAATGAGTTCTGCTCACCCCACCCTTATCTTCCATGGGGTGATGAGCTGTTCCCTGAGACTGTTAACTTTAGCCGCATTCATCATGGAACTTGCTAACTACCACATTATTAGGAAAGGTGATTTGCAAAGATTCATAAAAAACCTTATACTCACTTCTTCTGTAGGTGAAGCTGGATCAAGAATCATTCGCGTGAACATAAACACATTTAGGTAGTGCATTCCCTTCAAAAACAAAAGTAATCCTCTGCGTCTTCAGCGGCTCAGATGTCGGGAGTAAATGATGACTGCTATGTTCATTATTACATCCAACAATAGAACACCTCAATCGCTTAGGAGCCATCTTGTTTACTCCTGCTCCGGTGTCGAAACAATGGCGGACTGTGTCCAGCTCACTCAGGGCGGTTCTAAGGTAAAACACCAGGGTCAATCAACAATCGTGGGAGCGGCCTGGGTCTGTGTGACGTCACACAGCCAAGAATCTGTGAACAGCTTGATCTGAGAAAGGGGTTATGATTTTTGGGGATTAAAAAAAAAAAACTCTGGGTTGATTTTTAACAATATAGGGTGGTTGTGTTCACACACTGCCAAGACACATTGCAGTTCAAACAAAATGTATAAGTAAATTTTGCATCCGATGACCCCTTTAATATACATCTGTTTAGAGCAGGATTTTGGACCAGTGAAATTTCACTGTGGGCAGGCCAACCAATTGCAAACTGATGAAAATGGAAACCAAACAACCAACAAAGTTCCTTGCCATGTACTGCTGAAGTTATGCCTGATTAGGGAAAAAAAGTAAAGTTAATATGAATTAGATTTGAATGAGTTTTCATTTGCAGCTCTGTTGTGTTTGGAATCACTGGGACATAATTTAATATGCTATTTTTGTTCTTGTGTTCATAATATTGCTGTATATCATAATCATCATATATCATAGAGTAGATGGTTTACTAATATTGTAGTATGCAATTTCTCTCACTGTAAACCATTTGGCTCTTTGGCTTGATGTTATTTAAGGTTGAATTCTTGGCACAACAGCCATCCACGAGGGGAACTCCATGCTTGAGGTTCTGAAAGTTTTCAACTAGTAAACACACTTGAATCTTGTTCTTAATCAAAAGTCAGCATCCATAGAAGCAGTTTTAAGTTGATCGGCAGTAACTCTGATACGCAATCATCAAAACAGTTCTATTGATATGCATTCCAGAAAAACATTCCTGC